ATGTGTGTGCTTGGCTATACCACTCAAACACCACTGAACAGTTTCAACATTTGATCCCATATAGCTTGTGCTGAGAATAATGGTTTCCTCTTTCCTATCCCTGCAAAGACTATCATTAGCAAAGTGTCCTTCCTTTCCTGCTTGTGGTAATTTTTAGTAATTCTCACATATACCCCATGCCTGTCAGAAAAGCACATTTTTTTTTTTTTAATCCTCACTTGAGGACATTTTTCCATTTTTGTTCAGATAGAGTGGGAGGGAGAGAAAGGAAGAGAGAAGAGAAAGAGAGAAACATCAACGTGAAAGGGACACATCAAGTGGCTGCCTCCCACATAACCCCAACTGGGGCTGGGGACAAACTGCAACCGAGGTACATGCCCTTAGTGGGAATCGAACCCGGGTCTCTCTGGACTGTGGGCTGACGCTTTAACCGCTGAGCCAAACTGGCCAGGGCAGAAGAAAAGCACATCTTATTCCATCAAAGAGGTATGGAAATTCAGACTGGTCATGGCACCTCTTGTGACATCAGTATCCTCATTTGTTAAATGGGGATAATAATACTGTGCCTGTTAAGATTATGACAGATATGTGAAAAGTGCAAAGCATTGTGTATAAGCAATATGAATATATAACACGTTACTTCTGAAATTGTGCCCCACTTTATACTGTATTTTTTCTTTGTCACTTTCTTCTTTTTCTTCTTTTTCCCCCTAAATATATATATATTTATGTATTTTTTTTTTTCTTAAGTAACCTTTATAATTGACAAGCATTTGGATGAGCTCCATGTATAGAAATTGGTAAGAAACAATCCTTTTCTCTTTGAGAAGCTTATAATTCAGAGTTAAAATAAAAATTTTTGAGATGACTTAAAGTATATTATTTATACGTCCTCTTTTTATTAAATTTATTGGGGCAACATTGGTTAATAAAATTATATAAGTTTTAAGTGTACATCAATGATACATCATCTGTATATTACATTGTGTGTCTACCACCCAGAGTCAAATCTCCTTCTGTCGCTAGACATTTGACCCCCTTTACCCTTTACTACCTCCCTCCACCCCTCTTTCCTTCTGATAATCATCACACTGTTGCCTGTGTTTATGATTTTTTGTTTGACTATTTGTCTTGTTTGTTCATTTGTTGTTTTCAGTTTTATATCCCACTTATGAATGAAATCATATGGTTCTTGACATTTCTGACTTATTTCACTTCGCATGCTATTCTCAAGATTCATGACAACACAGGTGGGCCTTGAGCCACTGGGCATACTAAGCCACTTTTATCTTTATAACTTCCTTGAGTACAGACATTACAATTATTCATCTTTGTTCTTGCTGTAGCAGATGGTAGTGGGTAAACCTTCTATTGTTATATGTTGAATTAAATAAAAGCACATTAATTTCTTCCATTTGTTTAATCTTTACAATAATGTTTGCAATGGCTATTGTAGCTAAAATGGTCTTTTGTGAGGTTTCACAGAGTAGTTCATTAAAGAGGAACACTTGTTCTTTTTCTTGATTCTAGGTCTCTATTTCCTAAATTGGTCTCTGATCTCTAAAATCCTAACAGACAATTTGTGGAGGAAAGAAATTTATGGTGAAATCTGTTTACAAAATATTGTGTGTGCCCTACTTGGAGATCATTAAGACACTTTTGCATGTTAAAGGCTTGGAGAAGTTTTGAATTAAAGATATTTTAGAACAAAGAAACAAATTTAAAAAAAAACAAAACTCAACACATTTCCCAAATTTATTTGACCATAAAATGTGTTCCTTCCACCGTATATTAGTGTTCTTTGGGATCCCTTTTGGAAAAGACTGGTAAAATTAATATCTATTTTTTAATTAAATTTTTTTAAACATAATTTTGTGACTTCTAACTAGCTTTCTCCTCAGATTGTCTAAATAAGTTTTATTTTAATTTAATATATCAGTGTGTTTGGGGGGATATAATAGGAAGTGTTGTGAAATAAGATTTCAAGAAGTGTTGGTTGTACTTTTATCTTTTAATATAGTTGAATTAATTTGTAGCTCATGGATTTCTCCACAGAGAAAAGATCTATTTTAACTGGTATATCAGATGATCAGTGTTACTCAGGAAAACAATTAAATCCATTAGCATTTAATGGATTCTGCTTTTAAGGGAAAATATCAGTATTTCAAAAAATATTTATATATTTCTGGATGAGGCCAGGGAAGAGGATTCCTCCTTTTTTCTTAGAATTCTCTTAAATCCACAATCTTCATAAAGAAACTTTTCATTAGTCATCAACTGAACTTTAAAAATATATAAGGTTGATCTCTCCTCTGCTATGTTGCCACAAGATTTTTTTTTTTTTTATCCTCACCCAAAGACATTTTTCCATTTTTTGATCAGATAGAGTGGGAGGAAGAGAGAGAAACATTGACGCGAAAGGGACACATTGAGTGGCTGCCACCCATACGACCAACCAGGGCCGGGGACAAACTGCAACCTAGGTATGTGCCCTTAGCGGGAACCGAACCGAGGTCTCTGTGGACCTCAGGCAGACACTCTAACCGCTGAGTCAAACTGGCCAGGGCGCCACAAGATTTTGAATCATGGCCTTTACTTTCTGTAATCTTGTCACAGATGTAATGATAGTAGTAATATAGCATTCTTTAATGACAAGGTACTAATATAGGGAGAAAAATGACTGCTCATAAATTAAAGGCAATGGATTTTGCACATTAATCATGTTAATTATGTAAAAAATGATTTAAGTGGTTTATCTTTCTGCCTCCCTCAAAAACCCAGGTGTTGCCAAGTAATCAATTATCAGTAATTTCATTTTTCATCCTTCCTCTCAAAAAATCAAAATTTTATTTCACCTTGTGCAAAAACATTTCCAGCGAAAAAACAGCTGATTCTCTAAGGTTCTTTAAACCACATTCCCAACTCATGCTGTGAACTTAGTCCATTTCTGGTATTTATGCTGGACTTTTCAGATGGCCTGACAGTACCTGTAGGTGCTTATTAATGCCATTAATAAAAAAAAAATTTCTGCTCATTATGGCCCTCTACAGTTCTTAGCAGGCCTTTTCTGTGTTATTTCTGTTTGCTTCTTTTAGAGATGTAGGAAATCAGATTTAGAGAGGACAAGTAACATGCTGATGATCCTAACCCTAAGAAGTGACTAGAATACTCTGAGTTTGAAACAGCAAAGAGTAGCTGCATGGGGTATCAGGAGGCTGGGCGGGGGGAGCTAGAAAACAAAGTAGGAAACATAATTACCCAGTGACTCCTCTCTCTTATCCTTGGCTAGTCAAATACAATATCCTGCATCAGTTTTTCCTTTTTGGAAACAGGCACTAGAGAACTGGACAGCCGGTAACTGGTCTAGAGAAGTGGACAGCCCCAAAATTGCTGAGGACAGGAGTTACCCTTTCCTACCTTCAGAATTTTGCATGTAGAAGATACTTGATAAGTATATGCCAACGGAGGATGTGTTAGATAGTCACATCTATGAGAAACCCTCAACAAGGGCAGGGATTTTGGTCTCTTGTTTATTGCTATAATCTCCATCAACTAAAGAGTGCCTTTTACAACATAGGTGCTAAAATATTTGTGAATGAACAGGAACTGGCATGAAATAGTCCAAACAGAGCATCAGTCCTGCCAAAAATATTCATAAACACAATTATCAGGAAACTGAATAGAGAAACTGAGTTGAAAGTTCCTAAGAAGGGTTTAGCTCATATACATATGTTATTAAGCCAAGAATGCCACTGATATTTTGAGATTTCAAGAATCCAATATGCTTTATCATTAATTTTTAAATATATTTTTGTTTGTTGAGTAAATAAGCTTTAAAGTGTGAGTGAAATAGATATAATAAGAATTAAGCATATTGTGAGTATATTATTTATCAGTATTTTCTGAATTTCTGGTATGCTTAGAATACTGCCTTAAGCATTTAAACTTGGAGTATTTTTTTAGTTAACCTTGAAATATCCCTGAAAATGTGATGAAACACATTTCAAATGTCAGTGTCTTATATACGTGTGTTTCTTTTTCTTTAACATAAAATCATCTGGAACTAGGTAGCCATAGAGGGTATGGTAATTCTTTAGTCATCAAAGATAAGTATTTAGACCATCAAGTCAACATTTTAGGCACCAGGAAAAAGGAAAGAAAAAGGGAGCAATAAAGAGATGCAACTTTCAACTGAGACAGCTTTCAAGGAGCCTTCATTTACACCACTTAACCAGAACATAGTCACACAGCCAAAAATAGATAAGGGAGTCTGGGAAATGTATTGTTTTGTCTGAGTCTTTTGCTTCTCTGAGTGGAATTAAAGTTTTGTTACTAGGAAAGAATGAGATGATGAATATTGAGTGAACAATTGGCAAGTAATTTTGTGGTTAAGAATTCCCTCTTTCACAGATTCACACACACACACATACACACACACACACACAGAGTTGAATATTTAATCATAAGTAGAATAATTTGAGATTCCTTTGAGATTGTTATTCATGTGTTTCTAGACTAATAAAACAACTGGGGCAAGAGGAAGAACTGTGTTAGTTTCTTTTCTTTCTTCCCAATACTTTTCTGTTCACATAGTTAATGTTTTCAGTAACTATTTCTGCTCCTGACTTTGCCATTAAAAAGAACATTATTTATTGAATATAGATACCGTAAAGCAGTTGGTATTTTAATTTAGTCAAATATAGTAATATAATAGTATCAGACCTTTAACCTGTAAGCTGTCATGGTCCTATAGACATTTTCCTATATCTTTAATGTTTTTCTCAAAAAATGCATGCTTAGCCACAGATGTACTGTTTGAATATTGACAGTTCATAAACAACATTTCTTGTTTTTTGTCAGGCTTGTCACTATGAGAAACAATAAAATAAGGCCTGAACCATCACAAAGTCTCGTAACTGGATTCAGCATGTTTGCTACGTATTATAGAGAGTTAATTAAACTTATTTTCATCTTTTGCACCTATGTCTTCCTCTCCACAGGCTATATATTGATGGTCCATTTGGAAGTCCATTTGAGGAATCGTTGAACTATGAGGTTAGCCTCTGTGTGGCCGGAGGCATTGGAGTAACTCCATTTGCGTCAATACTCAACACCCTGCTGTATGTCATTTTGATCTATTTTGTTAATCCAAATAAAGAACTGTCGATATTTTAGACATCTCTGTTTTAGTATGAAGCAACTCCTTCCAGAATACTTCTACTTGCTATTGAAGGAACTTCATTTACTGATTGGTGAGGGGAATAATTCAGTGATTCTCAATATGTGGTCTTTGGCTCTCAGCATGCTGTCGTGTAAAATGTGTCAGTATCACAGCTATGCACTCCTCTGTCTTTATTCTCTATTAAAGCACTCCACCAGCTTCATTTCTCTACTGCCTCATCAGTGTTAAGTGCACTATCTATCCACCTGTCGACAGATATTTTTGAGCACCTACGTGCCAATCTAGCTTATAGGTAGGTGCCCGTAACACAGCGCTGAATGTCACTGAGCCCTGCCCTTAAAGAGCTCACATTCAAATGGGGGAGATAAAAATGAACCACTGAGAAGGTCATAAATAACATTACTTAAGGAAATATCAGAACTGTGATGAGAAGAAGTATTCATGGGATATAGGAATAAAGGGCCAGCGCTATGGTAAAAGCATGGAGGAGATGACAAAATGAGCCCATCATTCCCTGGTCTGTTACTCAGCAAATTTAAAACACAGAAAATTAGAAATTTCAGAGGTAAGACTGCTTAAACAAGGAATGCTTTTTTAGTTATTTTTTTTGTCCTAGAATTATAAGCAAACATTAATTGATTACTATTAATTGTCATGAAAATATAAACAGAATGACAGTATGAAGTTGTCCTCAAATCTATTACATTCACTCACAAGACACAGTTTGCATGAAAAGTCTGTTTTGTAGAGCACCAACAAAGAAATAATAAGCTGAAGTGATGTGTTTGAATGATATTTGATTTCAGTTTTAAATATCTGGTATAACTTTGGGCCTTTTTTGGAGGTTCTTAGAAAAATAACCATATTGCATGCCACAAATCATTTGTTTCTGAAAACATATTGCAGGTTATTTGGACACCTAAAATTAAGAAAAGGAAAGAATATTTTCTTAACTTCAAGCCTACTTTCTAATTTTAAGTAGGAATCCAGATTTGGAATCATGAGTTACTGGAATGCATTACATAGTAGGTGGTTGTGAAATCTCCTTCTTTAATGATATTAAGAAGGGGAATAAACAACCAACTTCTGGAATGGTTTTGGGTCATTTTGCCTGGGAGACAGGGCAAGGATGATGAGGACTGGAGCCCTGCTGAGTGATAAAATTAACTAAAAATAGAGAACTTTTTTTTCTGAGATGCAGGGCTGAGATTATTCGGATTCAGGAATTAAGTTTATTATCTTCAACTGGAAATGGGTGATGTGCATGTAGTATTCATAAGTATGAACACTAAATTCATGGAGTATATTATGTTTTTGACTCAATATATTCATTTTCTATTCCTTTGGGAGTTATAGTACGTGCTATGTCAGATGCTTGAATGTAAATGACTGGTTTTTCTATTGGTTGCTTTCTAATGAAAAGTAAATTGTCAAAGATATAGGGATTCTTAACTTTTTTACCATCCTAATCATTATCATGTTATCTTAATTTTAAAGGGATGACTGGAAACCATACAAGCTTAGAAGACTGTATTTTATTTGGGTATGCAGAGACATCCAATCCTTCCGTTGGTTTGCAGACTTACTCTGTCTGTTGCATAATAAGGTAAAATTAGGTTTGTTTCTACTTTTGCAAATCTTAAATTAAAAAATATAGTTATTTTCTTTCAAATTACTAAAGTACTAGATGCTTGATATAGAAAAAAAAAACTCCAAAGAATATGCAGATAAGTAGTTAGGAAGAAAAATACTTTAAACTTCAAAAAACAGAGATAACATTTGTTAATTGTGCACATCTTTTAGATACTGACATCTGTGACTATACGTATATGTCTATGATGTTTTAACATAGAAATGTTGATTGATATGGTTTAACATAGAATATTTTAACATAGAAATGCATGCATATGCTAGTAATATGTGCATATATATATGTATATGATGTATGCAAATACATGCATATGGGGTTGTGAGGGAAGGCAAACAGAGGAAACATCACAGACAAGGGCTACTGAATTTCCCATCTTTGTTCTAAAAGCTCTTACTTCTTATCTCCATCTTTATAATTCCAAATGGACCATCACCAAACTTTTGGCACACTATACAGTATTTCAAAAATCCCAAATTCTAAGCTTTATTTCTTACAAAGTTGAAAGCAAGCATTCTTCATCTCTCCTGTATGTAACCTTTTATTTATCTATTAATATATCTATCTTTATTTTTCCAGTTTACAAGTACTGCATATCTTTTTTTGCATCTTTGGTACAGATTTTTCAAATAATTCAAATAAAGAAAAATCTTCCCATAGTACGTACTTTCCCCACCCAGTCTATGTAGCAGGGGGTGAGTCATGAGTGTTCTATAAATTCTAGCATGCTATTTGTATTGTTCTGAAAGTTGCTTTCTTAAACTTATGACTTTGTCTTCAACATTGTTAGTAATAGTACATGTAGAGTTAGCTCATTCTTTTGACCACTATAGAATATTTCATAGCATGACTGTATCTAGTTTATCTAACCATTCCCTCACGATGGGTTATGTATATATTTAATGGCAGTGACTGTCATACATGCCATTTTGTGCAGAAATTCAGTCAGTCATTCACCAATTATTTACTAACTGCCTACCATGAATTAGTAATGGTTCTAGGACCTGGAGCTACATGGGAGATCAAAATAAAACAAGTTTCTGATCTCATGTGATTTACATTCTAAGTGGGGAGGATACACAATAAACCAATAAGTAAACAGGATGTCTGATTCTCGTTTAGACAAAGACGAAAAGGGAAGTGGGGTAAAGCAACAAAGAGTAAATAATAGAGGGCATTTTAATGTATATTGTGTAGTTGGAAATGCCCACCAAAGAAATGGATTCTGAGCAGAGACCTGAGTAAGCAAATGAACAGACAAGGCTGATAATTGGGAGACATTTTTTAAGGCAGAGACCCAACATCACAGGGCTCTGATGCAATAGTATTAGATTGGAGAAAGATGAAAGAGCCATGTGGGCAGAGTAGAGTAAGCAAGAGGAAAAATAGTAGGAAAAGCAATCAGAGAGGTCATGTGTGTGTGTGTTTTTTTTGGGGGGGGGGGCAGAGTAGGAGGTTGTGAATAAATTAAATTTTAAAAAATTATATTGACAAAACTCCCCCAGAAGAAACTAAAACAATTTACATTTGCATCAAAGAATATGAGAGAAATTTATTCCAAAACCATTATATTACTAATCTTTTAAATTTCTACAAGTCTCTTAAACAGTGGGATCTCATTATATGTCCTCTCAATGCTAGTGAGATCGAACCTTGCTTCCTATGATTGTTGACCACTTGTGTTACTTCTGGGATTGCCTAATTCTACCCTTGCCCATTTTTCTAATTTTCTTTTATCCTTTTTGGATTGACATATAAAGCCTATACATTTTTTAAAAATAAAATGCTATAATTGGATCCAAGATGTGGAAATGCGCATTTAAATAATAAGTGCTTTATAAAGCAAGCAGGGAAGAATAAAGGAAAGAGAAGGATGTAAGTGGCTGGACCTTCAAAGTAGTTAAATCTTGAGATTTATGTTTTTTTCCTTTCCAAGTTTTTTGATGGATATGCCTTATCCTTAGGATTCCATGGCATAAATAATACAAAAGCTTAAAATTATTATAAACAATGTGGTGATGTTATCTTCTACACACGCCTCTGCATGTTTTGATTTTTCACATCAGCAGGATGAAAACTTGTCCTTCAGTTATGCCTCTGAGGATAACGTTAATAAAAGGCTCTTATTTTCTGTTTGAAACTTTGTTACCAATTTCTGTGTGTGTGTGTGTGTGTGTGTGTGTGTATGAGAGAGAGAGAGAGAGAGAGATAGAGAGAGAGAGAGAGAAAGAGAGAGAGCAAGCAATAACAATAAAGCACAGTGACTTTTCATACAGTCTCTGTGAGGGTAGGTAAAATTTTTTTTTAAAACCAAATGAAAATATATAGTCTTCTGGCACCATGCATAATTATTGCAATATTCTTGACAATATTCCCTAGGCTGTACTTTATATCCCCATGACTATTTTGTAACTTTCAATTGGTACTTCTTAATCCCTTCAACTTTTTTACCCAGCCACCCAGCTCCCCTCCCCTCTAACAACCATCAGTTTGTTCTCTGTATCTGAGTCAGTTTCTGTGTTGTTTGTTCACTTTTTTTGTTCTTTAGAGTCCACATAAAAATGAAACTGTATGGTATTTGTCTTTGTCTGACTTACTTCATTTAGCATAATACCCTCTAGGTCCATCCTTGTTGTCACAAGTGGTAAAATTTCATTCTTTTTGTGGCTGAGTAATATTCCATTGTATGTACATACCACCTGTTCTTTATCCATTTGTCTATCCATGGGCATTTAGGTTGTTTCCACATCTTGGCTATTGTAAATAATGCGGAAATGAATATGGGGATGCATATATCTTTTCAAATTAGTATCTAACCACCATGCTGTACACCTGGAACTAATATAAAATAATGTTGAATGTCAACTGTAATTGAAAAATAAATTTATCTTATTCTAGTTCACACTTTCTGAGATGAATTGTTAATTCAGATACTTTTATGACATATTGGATGGCATTCTGTATTTTGCTGATGCCATTAATTACTAAATATAATTGCAATATCAATTTTTAAAGTTTGCATTCTATTTGGAAGAGTATTTTTAACATGAAAATTAAATTAGGTATTTTAACCTAAAAAAATTAAACAAGATACAGTCTTTCAATCTCCTTCCAAGTGTGAGTTCTTTCCCATCATTCTAGAATGCCTCGTACATAACGTGTCTAGCTGCCCTAACCACTCTATCTTGGTGTCAGACAATCCGAAATGATTACAGAGTTGTACCTTAAGTGGATCTTGCTTGGCTAGATTGTCCAAACTGGTGAGTTCAGAAAAGAGTACAGGGATAGGTGTCAGGTGATCTGGTACCAACTCTGCCAGTAACTAACTACATGACTTGTTTCAAGTCACTTCCCCTCTGTAGATCACATTGGGAAAACTGAAAAGGGAAACCAGGGCTACATCAGGCATTTGGAGTCTCTCACTTAAAATGGAAAAGTGACTCTACCTCAGAGGACTCTGAGACCTCCGGTAAATCACTTAACCTTTGTAAACCTTATTTACACCTTCAATTTGTAAATGAGGGTAGCAGCACTTAAAGCCTAATGTGAGATTTAGCTTTAACATATTTATAGTACCTGTCAGATGGAAAGTATATAATATCCCTGGCCAGTTTGGCTCAGCAGTTAGGGCATCAGCCTGCGGACCATGGGGTCACGGGTTTGATTCCCGGTCAAGGGCACATGCTTGGGTTTCAGGTTTGATCTCTGGCCCTGGTTGGAGTCCTGTGGAGGCAACCAATTGATGTGTCTTTCTCACACTGATGTTTCTCTCTCTCTCTCTCCCTCCCTTCTTTCCACTCTATCTAAAAATCAATGGAAAAATACCTTCGAGTGAGAATTAACAGCAACAACAAAAAGCTATATAATAAATTCTTGCTATCATTCCTATTAGTGATTTGTAAAATTCCTTTCAGGATATCATTCCTATTAGTGCTTTGTAAAATTCCTTTCAGGAGTTACATTCTGTTATTTTTTATTTATTTATGAAAAAAATAAGGAAAAGTGACAGGCAGGAGAAGTACAAATGGCAAGGATAACCTCTGTGCATGACGCTATAACCCTGATCCATTTGCAATATTGTGTTGATCATGCATTTGTTTCTTGGACTTGAAGAAAAATGTTCCTTTAGTATGTATCATTACTTATCTCCTGTGAGAGATAAGTTAAAATGGAGATATTGAAGTCATTAAGAACATTATTCAAATTTTCATAGTTCTCCTTGGGGGCTGTGGACACCAAACTTCAGTTATTGAGGTAGGTGTCTTAGAGCAGCATCCTGCTAGACAGTTAAGATAAGAGTCAATACAGACCATATATTTCATGAGATGCTACCCATTACTAGACCTTCAAATCCCACAGTTTCCTCCCAGTTAAAATTCATGAGTTCTGATTCGATTCAGAAAGGGCCTTGAAATGAATTTAGCATTTGAATATACCTTGAGGCAGCCATTGGATGGGATATTATTAATGATTATATTTTAAGAATATTATGGGTGCTGATAATCATCTCATTACTTTTAAGGTAAAATATGTTTTTTATTAGGATTTTATAATTTAGAGTTACCACCTGTCAGAAAATGTATAATTTTAGATCTGGAAGAGATCTGTGAGATCATTGTCCTGATGAAGAAGCTGAAGCCTGGAAAAGTTGAGTAATTTGTTAGACGTCTCTGGGCCAGGTAGTCATGGCAATAGAAGTCTGTCAGTTACTTCCCAAGTGCTCTTGTTACTGTAAAGCGTGCCAGAGGGGGTGATGAACCCCTACTTAATCACTCCCTATCAACAAAATGACTTATTTTGTATTCCTAAAACATCTTCTTTGAGTCCCGATATATCATTTTATTTTTTAAATCATTACTTTCACATTATTCAGGAGTGGACGAAAGTAGGTATACAGTTGTGAGTACGCAAAACACAAAGTTCAGAAAGCTATTGTAATAATCAAAACCCGCATGTCTTTTTCCATATGAATAACTATAAACCTAATTTTGCCCACCCCTGTATACGGGTATGTGTTTGCTTGTAGTACTGACTGTGATTAGACAAGATACACATTAACAAATTCTAGAATTACATGTGTTAGAATACAAGAGAGTCTGAGTATACAGACATAATTTTAATGTCTATTTACTTTTATGCCCTCTCAGTTTTGGCAAGAGAACAGACCTGACTATGTCAACATCCAGCTGTACCTCAGTCAGACAGATGGGATACAGGTATGTGGCTGGATGTTATTGTAAGTTCAACAAGCCTCTTGATAATAGGAGATTTACTGTAGAGGCTGTGCTAGAAGAACATTTCTGCAGGTGGTTTGAACAGGTTTCCCACAGGAAGGCCTCTCGGAATGTGTCCAGAAAACGCATGGCTTGTCCTTGACGAGGACCATATTATGCCTTATTTTGATCTTCCTCACAGGGAGGACGTTATTGCCTCAAATTCTTTACCTATAGAGGTCAGACCAGAAGTGAACAGTCTCATGACTACGTTCATCGAGAGGAGGTTTTATGTGGAAAGAAAAAATAAGGTCATACACAATAAAGTTTATTTCCCTTCAAGGGAAACACACACAAAAAATAGTAATAGCTAGCTATCACACATTATTTATTCATTGTGTTACACACTGTGCTATACAATCATATACATAATCAAATAATTCCAACAGATTCAAGAGGTAGAGGATATTGCTCTCCCCATGTTATAGATGAAGAAACTGATGTTTACAGACAACATTGAAGAACTGCATAATTGCATAAATCTGGGCATAAATGCTTTCACAAATTTTATTTTAGTATTTTCTATCATACATTTTCTGTAATACTTCGAATACGAAATATGAATGCTTGTCAGCTACTATAAAACTAATCTAACCCTATTTTTTCTAGTCAGAGTTCTCCCCTACTTGGTATGTAAAAATATTTCATTTTGTTACTCTTATGAAGCAAGTCGGTACCACTATCCTCATGGTATTGCTGTAATTGAACGACGAAATACATGTTGCATTTTGGTTCTCAGTTTGTCTGCCTGGAACTTAGACACTTTCTCCTCTCTTCCCAACTTCACTCTGGTTCTTCAGATCCCATATTCTGTTCATTGCAAACACCAGTTCATTCGAGTTATTTGTTGATAGACCCAAGATCTGGAGCTCTGCTGTCTTAGGCTGTCTTGTCTAAGATCATTTCCCCAAATTTATGATCACAATTTGTAGTATTTTACCCATCTAATGTGCCAAATATGACAACTGTATTTGCAGTGCAAAAACAATTCAATAAAGTTGATGTGCGGAGGCCTTTTTTGCGAGTAAACAATTAGAATGCATTCTTCAACATTGCTGGTGTTTAAAAATGCTGCAGATCAGCCATTTGTAATAAGGTCATTCAAGAAGAGAATGAATTTTAAAGGAAAAGAGGAAGGAAATGATGTTCTAACTGACTGCGCTTATTAGGTTGCCATTTGCTACTTATATTCTTTATATCACAGCAATTTGGTAAGAAGCCAGCACCAGCAGAAATGATGTTAGAGAAATGGGTAATTTGCCAGTTCTGTGTCATATAAAATATAATGCTTTCTTTGTGGTAGAAAATAATTGGAGAAAAATATCAAGCACTGAATTCAAGACTTTATATTGGACGCCCTCGGTGGAAACTTCTGTTTGATGAAATAGCAAAATGTAACAGAGGGTAAGTACTGTTCCTCAGCATATTTGACATGTGGCTAATGATCAAATTAAAATATTCCCAAGTCATTACATGCAGTTTTTAAAGATGAATTAGTAATGGGTTTACAAATTAGAAGGCCACTTAAATATTCAATTATCACTATCAAAGGAGGAAGCAAGGCAGGGACCACCTCATGGATATGTAATGCTAAATAATTAAAATTTGGCTTAGAAATAGTGTATCAATTATTTATGAATTAGACCCTTCTACCTACTTTTTCATCTGTATAGACCCATATTAAAATGAGTGTTCATTCCTACAGCATATCAGGTGATCATGGGAAAAGTTTTTCAAAATCATGTTAGCAAATAAGGAAGCTCTACCAATAATTCTAACAAAATATGCACTTAAAAATCAGTTTTTGTACCTTTTTACCAAAATGAATACATTTTTTTGAAGCTTTTAGTTGTAATTCGCAGTCTGTAAATCAGGAATATTTTTAAACATCTTTTCTTTTTCTTGGAAACTATAATTGTAAAGAATTTTAGCATTATGGACTATATATCTATGATCTGAATAGATTACTACTGAAAGAAAGCATTCACTTTAAGGCATAGATTCGACAACCCATTTGTCTTCTATAACTTTATTATAGTACAAGACAATAGTCTACAAAAATCTAAAAGCATTTTGAAAACCACATACCCACTCATACATTTTAAAGTTGCCATTGAAATAATTGCATCATAAGGTTAAATAGTTACAAAGGCTGTAATTTCTAACATATTGCAGATGTTGGCATTTTAATATTAATGTAACTTTTTCATTTTAATCCTCACCTGAGGATATTTTTCTATTGATTTTTTTTTTTTTTAGATAGAGTGGTAGGGATGGGGAGAGAGAGAGAAATATCAATGTGAGAGAGACACATCAATTGGTTGCCTCTCGCATGACCCTGACTGGAGCCAGGGCTCGAACCTGCAATGCAGTACATGCCCTTGACTGGGAATCAAACTTGAGCCTCTTCTAACCATGGGCCAATGCTCCAACCACTGAGCCAAACTGGCCAGGGCTTAATGTAACTATTTGAAACATATCTACTGGAATCTAACTATCATAGTTTCTTGATACCAACCTCATATATTGTAAATACACAAACAAGTTTTCACTAGCCGTTGGAAATTATACACAATTATTTTTCCTACTTGAACTTGCATTTCTATCTTGATTAAACAGCAAAGTTTCCTCAAAATTCAATTATTTTATATTTGAAATAATTATTTTTTGTTGCTAACCTAAACATATTTCTGCAAGAATGCATATAAATTGATTATTTAAATTTTAAAATTTCCTGTGACCCAAAGGCTCTAGTGTTCATTTTTTTTTTTCTGGATTGAGTTATCATTAAAATTATTAGTATATACTTGATTAATTCACAATCTTAAAAATATTTTTTTATAAATATAACAAGGATATTTTATTGTAAATGAATGAGACAGCTTATGAGATGGAGAGATTTTTTAATAAAATCCCAATTCATAAATTCATGGATGAACATGATGTATTGAAAGAATCACTGATTCATCATGGCCCTTGGCTCCATCTTCAGAGATTTTGTTTTAGGAATTATGGGTGGAGTCCCAGAAGCAAAATTTAAAAAGGAATATATACTCATGTAATTCAGATTTCAGACAGATTTGAAACCACTTCTGTGTTCCCTTCCTTTGAAAAAGTAGTTTGGGATTGAAGAGGGAAGCATTATTTAGAAAGCAGAGGTCCTTTGTACTATACAGGGCCCCAGTTAAAGGTGACCTAAAGAATAAAATAAAAGTCAACCCTATGTTGTTTATATTCCTTCTCATCTTCCCCCAATAGCATCCACCTTATGTGTGATCATCATGTCATACTCACCTGGGTCTTACTGTGCACCACAGATGACTCATTCTTCTATAGTGACATTTAACTGACTAACAAGCATCCTTTTATTAGTTTTTATAGTACACTGCTAAAAACTTTTATAGTTTTTCTTTCTTTCTGAAATCAAACCCAGAAACAATAGAGGATAATATATGGAAAATTAAACCTGAATTATTGGTTTCTTTGGTTATTTCTTAAGAATTCTCATTTGTTTTACTGTTTATCATTTACAGGGATTTTGTGTGTTTATTTGGTTTTTCATTTTCTTCAAACAGCAAGCTGGTTTAAAATGAGCAAATGTGCACCACCTACTGTTCACATTCTGTACAACACCATCACTTTCTGTATTTGCTCTGGGCAGGCACCTAAAATGCATTTTTTAACATTTATATTGTTTTTTGTTTTGTTTTGTTTTTTAGAGAAAGAGGAAGAGAGAGAGAGAGAAACATTGATGTGAGAGTGCAACATGGATCGGCTGCCTCCTACACCACCCTTACAGGGAACTGAGCCCACCACAGGAGCACACGCCCTGACCAGAATCAAACTGACAATCTTTTGGTGCACAGGATGGTGCCCAATCAACTGAGCCACACTGACCAGAGCAACACATTATTTTTTAAGGGGATTTTTATGTAGCATAGTATAGAGAAGAATGAATTAACATCTTAATGTTTCATTAACTAGAAAAAGGTACTATTTAAATAGAAGGGAGCATTTTAGATATGTAATTTTGGTTAACTCCATGTACATAAATTACATAAAGAATACACTATAGAGAAATAGAAATAAAGAAGAAAGATATAAATTATGTAATTTTAATACCATATGCTGGGCTACAATTTAATTTTCAGAAAGTGATTATTCATTAAACCAGTAGGTATTAGTTTAATAAAGTGTATATAATACAAATTTAAATTGTATTAAGCAATCCTTGGCATGCACACACACACATATATACTTTTATATATACACATTTATAAAAGTATGTATACACATATAAGTACATATACATATATAAATACATATACATATATATTTATATAAGTACATAAGTATATGTACATATATATCAATGCATATATACTTAAAAGATACATATTGAAAATATAAAATTTTATTTTAACAAAAATTGTATGAATCTATAATATATATTTTTTCAACTTAGTCTTTTTCAGAGATACTATATATTGTTCATGAATAATTTTTGTGGAATTACACCTCAACATTATTGTAGAATATGGATGACATGACCATTCCTATCTTGGATATTTAGGTTGCCTCCAGTCCTTTACTGTTACCAACAGTGTTACAGTAATTATCTTTGCACATGTGTTGTCATGCTCATGAGAGAGTATTGCAGTAGGATCCTTGAAATGCAATTGCTGGATCAAAGGGTGTGCACATTTCAATACTGTCCTACCAAAACCAAAAAGCTAAATTAATTTATACTTAATTTACTTTGCACTTGTGCATGAGAGTGGTTCCTTTCTTTCATGGCCTTTTTAAGTTCAGAAAATGAATTATATGATGGTATTATATGATTAAGGAAAGTGAAGGACCTTTTGAAGTCACCTTGCTTTCATCATTATTTTACAAATGAAGTAGCTAGGATCCCAAAAGATAATGATTTGTCTGAAGCTATGGTTAATGAGTCAACTCAGACATGAACCTATATGTTCTGACTATAAAATGCTCTGTGCTTTATTGAAAACATGTCCCAAATTGAAAAAAGTTGCAATCTTATTTTACCATGTTCCTCTTGGGGACAGTGTGGTGTTAAAAGAAACCATCATGTTCACTATATATGTTGCAGAAAAATGTTAACTGTATTATGCAAAAAATTCCAACAACTAATTTTTTAAAAACATAAAAAGGTATTCTACATATTCTTTATAAGCCATTCAATATTTAACAACCTGTCAGAAAAGTATTTGTTGCATCTAACCAAAATCCAGTTTCCTATTAGTTATAATAAAAATGTATATCAAAAAAGTTAAATTTATGCTTTATGCATTATGCAAAAGGAGAAATAACTGACTTTGCTTGAACTTTTGGGGCAGAGGATTACTACTCTGGGATTGGGTGAAATGTCTGAGACCATATTTATATTTTGCTGCCTCATGATGTTTTAAAAAACATTACCAATTAAGGATAGTTTGGTCTCTCCTATTTTCTCCATGTCTGTGGGTCAAGTCACCCTCAAACCTCTGGGTCTGTAATACAAGGATTGAGTAATCTCTAAGGATAAAAAAGTGTCGTTATATGAGATCCCACACTTACAAATCTACAGTTTCAAATTAGTTGTTGAAACTTTTTGCATAATACAGTTAACATTTTTCTGCAACATATATAGTGAACATGATGGTTTCTTTTAACCATCTTTAAACTTGTATTGGTATAATAGGAAAATATGCACAAATATATTGAACATTTATTAAACTAGTTCTATTTGCTCCCAAACATTCTCTACTTAGCTTCTACATCTGTTTCTACCCACTCAACAAAGATTTTGTGGATAACGCTTTAGATAATTGTTGAATTGTAGCAACCTAATGTGAATTTAGTGTAAATGATTGCAGAAATAAATTGCAGATCTTTAAAAGGTGGTAGGATTTAATTCAGTTAGTGAATGTGACATTGGAGAACTCCTTAAATTACTCACAGATCTCCTAAACTAGCTAACAATTGAAAAATAAAATGTTAAAAAAAAGAGATGATATATGTATACTTTAAAAATAATTTTATTTTAAAGTATTTACGAGAAGTCTATAGAAAATCTGAAAAATTTGAAAACCTTACTCTGTAATTGTCTTATGAAAGACAAGAAAAAAATAATGGTCTCTTGTCATAGTGCAGTGTTGACCGAAAATGTATACAAACAGACAAAATGACTCATTTTTTTTAAAATTTGGATGAAAACCACATTATGGTTATTTATTTGTTTTGTTTGTTTGTTTAGGTGGTATACACTCAATAGTATAATTTTATTCATTTAAGTAATCCATTGTGTCTAGATCTGGTTTTAATAGCAATATAAATTTTATTAAGTATATGAGAACTTATTTTTATACAGCTCTATTATTTTCTTTCTTCTCACTTTGGGT